ATAGTGCAAAAATGTGTTTTTTTATAAAGTAAGATCATACCGGTATAACTGAATATTTTTTCAATCTTAAAGTGTTAAATAGAAAAAGGTTTATATTTAAATGTCCAACGGAGAAGTTTATAAAAAAATAATTACGGCGGTATAATCCAAAAATGACAAAAATTTCCTTAGCTATACCCATCACATAGGTTTGCTTATAAACAGACCTGGAACCAGATTAGTTCTTATGTGGAATGGAAATATTTCATTATAACCATAAGAATTTTTCTAGTTTTTTAATTTTTTGGTCGATAACAATGGATGATTATTGAAAGTAATAAACCAAAATATTTTTTAACTCACAAAATCACGGACTTAACCTACCAAGTATGATATGGAAAACAAATAAAAGAGGAACTGGGTAGGCTTAAAAATCACGGGTAAGGACTGCTTGGATAGAGAGATTTTTTGGAAAAACTAAAAGAGGTTGGGGTTCTTGTGGGGAGGAAGGGGAGAGGCAAGGGAGAAAATTGAATAAGGAAGAGCTAGAAGAACAGTCCAGGAGGATGAAGGTGTGAAGAAGAACGAGAAATGATATCCGCGTGGTTCTTGCTGGCAGATTCGTGTAAAGAAAAAATGATCTGTTAATATTACATAATCAAATTGTTTGAAAGGAGTTATTGATATTGAGTTTCATAAAAGTATTTCTTTTTAAAGGAATCTTCAAGTTAAGTTAGAATAACCTCTTTCTGTATGTTCGTCGTTTGCGAACCGGATTAAAAATTATTTTTTAACTCACAAATATCACGGACCGCATTTTAATAATCCAGTTGGGTATACTTTATCGAACTCTTCTTTACAGCCATAATAATATTATTAAAATACAGCGATGAAATATTGGAAAAGCTAAAAAACCATAACCTATCTAGGGACATCCATTTATCCATAAATTCCAACAACAATCCCATTTATAGAACTATTTCCAGCTTCAATATTTCCAGCCCAGAGTCCTATATGATGTATAGAGCTAACATGAAAAAGCAAAGATCAACAAGTCAGTTAAGGGTTCCAAATCCCGAATTAATTAAGCTCTATAAGAAAAACAAAAGTTTCTACTTCAAAGCCCAGAAAACCTGCACTTTCTGTAACCAATTCATTTCTAACAGCCTGTTCCATATCCTTCTTTACTGTGAAAAGCTAACAGACAGACACAAATATATACGAGCATTTCTCTCTGCGGCATGTGATGTAAACAAGATACAAGATATACTTCGAATCGATAACATAGAGAAACTTAATAAAATTTACTGGTTCATAATGTCAGCGTGCGATTCACTGGATTCCTTAAGCTCTGATGTTCCACACACCAACCAAGTGCTATGACTGGGGATAATTGTTGGTCAGTTCAATTAATGGTTTGTTTCTTTCTTTATTTTTTGGTTTTATTAATAATGTATATAGAAATTAATTGGAATGTAATGAAGTATTATTGTTTTTATAATAAGTCAATGTACAGTTATGATAAACTAGACTCATGTAGGTGAAATAAAGTTATTCATTTATGTATGATTTGTACAAGATTGTAAAATAATCTTTAACAAATAAATTCTATTCTATTCTATCACGGACTGAACCTACAATATATGAATTTTTGAAGTGGTCAAGCAGCTTTCATTTTTTTTTTTTTTTTTTACCACTTAGCATAAGCTGCTTTGATTAATATTTCCAGTATTATAAATTACAAATATAAAAATAAAAATAAAATAGCAATGAATTACGTAGTATCTGGTTAACCTTGGGATGTATTCGACTGTAGTCACTGCGCAGAAAATATGTTTAAAATTTCATTGCCACAATTACGAAATTTAGTAATAACTTTGAACTTGATGACCGATAAAAAACGGAAACCAGTTTTAAGTGTGAGTATACTCAAACTATTATGGATTATAATTCTTCTTCTTCGATCTTTCCTGAAATGGTCAGGTCCGGGATTAAGTTATGAACTCGACGAGTTTTCTGAGATCGTCCAGAACACCGTAATGTTGCGTCGCCGAGTTGGTTTGGTTCATCCAGATCTCTTTCTGTAGACCAGTGTTGGGCGTTATTTAAATAAATTATTTGAAATTTTATCTAGATAAAGAATAATAGATAAATTTGTATTCGTTATTTCTTATCCGACGATGTTTGGACAGATGATTATTTGTTATTTACAAATAATATGCATTATCTTTTATCTATTATTCGTTATTTAAGATGAAAATACGATTCGAATAATCATTTTAACAATTTTAGAATTTCTTCGATATTTAGGTCTGTTTATATGTTTTAGGGGACCCTTTTTATGAAAATACTGCCGGATTTGAGATAGCGCTCCCCCCCCCCTCGAATTGACTTTTTGTAACTCTTCAGATTTAATTGATATGAGGGTCGACTATTATGTTTTGGGGGGGCCCTTTTTATGAAAATACTGTCGGATTTGAGATAGCGCCGCCCCTCCCCTCCTCCGAACCGACTTTTTGTAACTTTTCAGATTTAATTGATATGAGGGTCGACTATTATGTTTTGAAGAGGCCCCTTTTATGAAAATACTGTCGGATTTGAGATAGCGCCCGCTCCCTCCCCGAACCGACTTTTTGTAACTTTTCAGATTTAACTATCGCATATCCGACCGTATTTTCATAAAAAGGGCTCTCCAAAAGATAATAGTCGACCCTCATATCAATTAAATCCGAAAAGTTACAAAAAGTCGGTGCCCGTAGGCGCTATCGCAAATCCGATAGTATTTTCATAAAAAGCGTCCCCAAAACTCTGATATGGAAGAAATCCTAAAAACTCAAAAAAGTCGCAAATGGAGAACATTTTTAAAAACTATAGATATGAAAATATACACATTAGCTCGTATATGGAAGAAAAATAAAATTAGCTTCAAATTATTCGAAATTTATTTGAAAAAACTCGAATAGCAAATAAAAAGATAATAGATAACTTGAATTTATTTATTATCTTGATAAAATATGACCAGAATTATTCGTTATCTATTATCTTTTATTTAAGATAATAATTTTAAGATAATAATTTTGCCCAACACTGCTGTAGACTAGGAGCCACCGCCGATTTCTTTTAACGGTAGGACTTACAACTATGTAAACACGTTAATATGTGAAAGGATTAAGCGGCTGTTAAAGCGCATGGAATCGAAGGAGTATTTCACTAGTTATGGATGATGCCAAAAGTCTTCCATGCTTTTATAATATATAAAAGCCATGTAATTCCTTTATACATTCAAGTTCTGTACGTCTTCGATTCCATGTTGTTTAAATCCTCTCACATATTAACGTATTTACATGAATTATATAAGGAATTTAATGCTCTTTCAAATTGTTTATAATAAATTTCTTCGGGAGATGCGCAGATTTTGAGTTTTAGTGAAAAAACCGATAAAAACAGATATTTCATCTGAAATAAGCATTCAGTCAATATTCTGTAGCTCCTCACCCATTGGACTTAAATCAAAAAGCGATTTATTAAATTGCTAGTAAATTTTATCTTCTTTAACTTTGTATATAATAATTTCCATAAATTCGTTTCTGAATCATGTCCAAAAAACAGGAAAAGTTCGGAAATTTCACTATTTTGCAAATAACTAGGAACGCAAAGGAAAATATCGTTCGGGAACATCAAATTCAGATTTAGCATCCCAAAAACACAAAATATCAAAGAGAAATCGACTATTTGAATTTTTTTTCTCATAAAATTACCTTGCGACTGAATCAAATTCGATCCTTGCTGTCTGAAACGTAAAACTCGAGTGGAAATTTTCGATTCTGAGCAAAAATTTTTTTTTAATCTCTCGCACGAACACAATTCTTCCTCCCTACTTTCGGTAGTGAGAAAGCAAAATATTTTTTTTTTTTTTTTTATTCTTTCTTAATGATCAAATCTTACAACTGTATTGAATAAATACATCTAGTAAATTTGAACATAATCGATATAATGACGTGAAAACACTTGCTGAGTAACTACCCAATGGTAGCACTCTAATGATATGTCTACCTAAGGAGATCACGGGGCCATCTTCTTTTCAGACGCCTCGGATGGTTATCAGGAATTGAAGAGGTTAGAAACGAGAGGTTTGGGATGATTCTAAAGTTTATTATGGAAGGATTGAGCCAAAACGGTGACATATGGAACATTAAGGTCATTATGGAGTATTTTATTTGTGACAAAGTAAGGAGCGTTCAGGATTTTACAAAGGATTTTGGATTGTAAGGATTTTTTTTAATAATTCATAAAAAAAGTGCCGTTTTTTATGCGATTTGCATCTTTTTATTTTCTTGCTAATAAGACTTCTTTCTCTTTCTTACATGGGTGCCCAGAATGTAGTTTCAAGTTGCGTCAAAATATTTTTGAGGGGGCATATTTGAATTTTTCATGGGAGCAAATTTCGACGGAGTTATGAATATTCGAACTAAGGGACAAGAAGAGGAAAAACAGGAAACATACCGGAGGGTTATCAGGAATTGAAGAGGTTAGAAACGACAGGGTTGGGATGATTCTGAAGTTTATTATGGAAAGGTAGGTATCTGTATTGGGCCAGATCTGAAACAAAAGAATCATTAAGGTCATTATGGATGGTTTTATTTGTAACAAAGTAGAGAGCATTGAGGATTTTACGAAGGATTTTGGATTGTAAGGATTGGATACGAGAGGAATTCGATGGTTTAGTGGAGCCCCATAGCTCAACTCCGTAAGTCCATATAGGTCTTATTATAGTCAAGTATATGAGTCTTTTGTAATTAATTGGAACTTCAAAGCGTTGGTCTAGTAAGTGCTGAAGTAATCGGAAATGTCGAGCGGTTTCTTGTCGTTTCAGTCTAGTATGCAAAATATTTAAAATTAACAACTGTATTCGAGGTGATGTATACTTTTTGATTAATAGGAAAACAAATTAATTGAATTAAAATATAAATTATTTACATAGACTCAGTAAAAAGAAATAAATTAAATTCTTGTGGTTGCAGGGATGAGTAACAATGGCGGTCGGCTTAGACCGAAAGAGTCGATCGCTCCGGACGACTGCACGGCGGTGAAGAACTTGAGGGAAGCTGGAGTCATACCGATTGTGGTCACCAACACTCCAGAGCTCTGCTTCTTCTGGGAGACCTACAACTACGCCAATGGTCTCACCAAGAACCCTTACGACACCCAGAAGACCGCAGGAGGATCTTCGGGAGGAGAGGTTAGTAGAACTCACAGATTTCTATGTTAATATATATATCACATTCAGTTCCTCCGTTAAAAACGTAGGAATCACCATTGACGAAAACCTCTCCTGGAAACCCATTATCGTCCTCATCTCCCGTAAGTCAATAGGTACCCTTAAGCTATTTCATCGCTCCCGCCACCTGCTCCCACAATCCATCCGCAAGCTCCTTGTATCCCCTCTCAGTTTCTCCCACTTTGACTACGGCTGTGTGGTGTACGGAGGCATCCCGACGGTACTCGAGGATAGATTGAAGCGACGCATACCTGCTTAAGATTTGTCTTCGGTACATCGAGGCGATCTCATGTGTCCACCTTTACGAGGAGTTAAAGTGGCTCTTCCCTTCTTTACGCAGACAATATTTCCTCGGATCTTTCCTATTCCAAACGATCAATATCCGACACCCTTCCTATAGTCTCCTACAGTTCGAACCCGTCGTCCACTCCCAGAAAACAAGATCCCGTGTTTCCGACCTATATATCCCTTCCCATTGAACTAAGACGTTTATTCCTTTATTGCCCGATCCACTGCCTTCTGGAATTCCTTGCCATCTGAAATCCGCCATGCCTCTTCCTTGTCCTCATTTAAATATCATCTCTACCAATTCCTTCTCACATCCCCAAATGACGTTATACAATAAAATAAATATTGCGAAACAGATTTTGACTGAGATAAATGGTTGTAAAAATTGATAGAGTTTTTAATTTTAAAAATCAACCCATGTTTATTTTATTTTGTTCTCTTTTTATTTAAATATTTTTTTTTCTTTTCAAAATGGTGTTATTTTTACTTGTTTTAATTTAATTTTACTGAAGATACTATATATTCTTTAACATTGACTAATGTAATTTTTGGCCAGATGTAGTTTTTATTTTTTGTTCATATCTGTTATTCATAAGGGATCTTGTCCCAGAATAAAGTTTACTTTCTATCTATCTGTCTATCTATATGTGTGTGTGTAGGTCCTAAATAAAAAAAAAATAGCTCGTATTGAGTGAAGAAAAAATTATTAGAAAGTCTGAAAAAAATATGACAAAAATCTTATTAGAACACCCCGCACATAAGATATATAGTTTCGCACCACAAAATGTATTTCTCCATTCGAATAAGAAAGACAATTTATATAGAGTATTAGAGTTACAGAATAGTAGGGTAGTTCTTTGAGTAGTAGAGGGACACCAGCAATGAATAAAATGTTTAAACTAAAATCTATTAAGGAAAGTCGACTTGCTGGCTAGACCATGGGCTAATAATAGGTATATAACTATTTTATTTATGCCTGAATGTTACTTTTACTTAAATTGTCATTTATAATAAAAAAGTTAGTACAAATTTAAATCTCCGCGTGTTGGCAGTGAAAATTACTGTAATTGCTAAAAACATCTACGTGATGAGACCAAGAACTCACCATCTTAATTGTATATATTTCAGACATCAATTTTCTTTCTTCGCTAACGATGTTATGGGAGCTTGATATTAGTGCGGTTAGAAAAATTCTTGTGGTCATAATGAAATATTTCCACTCCACATAAGAGGTTTGTTTGTAAGCAAATCTATATGATGGGCGTAGGGTAATGGACATAGCTCAGGATTTTTTTTGTCTTTTTTGGCTTATGCTGCCTTAATTATTATAGTTATAAACTTCTACGTTGGACATTTAGAATCTCAAGGGTCTCCTTTTTTTATTTAACACATTAAAATTGAAAAAATATTCAGTTATGCAGATAATAAATCCCATCAAATCACCTTTACCCTTCATCGTAAACCTATGTCCTCTTGTCCTACAGTATCCTTTAATAATACCCGACTTATCCCTGTTGAACAAATTCGATACCTTGGGCTCCACTTAGACAAACAACTCATTTGGAATCCTCATACCAGACTGAAACGACAAGAAACAGCTCGAAGTTTCCGACTACTCCAGCACTTACTAGACAAACGCTCTAAGCTCCCAGTCAATTACAAAAGACTCATATACATTACAACAATAAGACCTATTTTAACTTACGGAGTTGAGCTCTGGGGCTCCACTAAGCCATCGAATTCCTCTCGTATCCAATGCTTAGAATCCAAAATCCTTCCTAAAATCCTCACAGCTCCTTACTTTGTCACAAACAAAATCATCCATAACTACCTTAATGTCCCTTACGTTTCTGACTGGCCCAATCCAGATACCTATCCTTCCATAGCAAACTTCAGAACCATCCTAACCCTCTTGTTTCTAACCTTGCTTCCTCCTCGATCCCTGATAACCCTCCCAGGCGTCTGAAAAGAAGATGGCCTCGAGATCACCTTTTGTAAATACATTTTTAGAGTGCTTCCAGTGGGTAGTTTCTCAACAAGTGATTTCATGTTGTTATATTCTTTTGTTCACATTTACTGAATGTATTTTTACTTGTAACATAGTTGTAAATTTCATCAATAAAAACCAAAAAAAGAAGAAGTTATGTAGATAAAATCTTACTTTATAAAAAAACAATTTTTTTCATTAGTGGTGGACACTCCGAAATTAAATTGCTCTAGTAATGAACAGGAGATGGACATGCCTCAGAAAAATTCTAAATTTTTATTTAACTGTTAAGATAACATAAACGATCAACTTACTCTTATCAAAACTATAAGTAGGAAGGTATGAAAAACATTGATCTCAAGCACACTATGGAAACAACAATGATAGGCATTATAATATTTTCTTTTGTGAACTTCGTTCATACAGTCCTCAATAGAGCACTAACGGATCCAAGATGTAATTTTGGGAGGGCTTCAGCCCGAAAGATTTTTTTTTCATATACATATAACGATAATTAATTTTTAAAAAAAAGAAAGAAATTAACTACCTACATAATAGAAGAAGTTTTTTTAAAAAAAAATTTAGACTTTAGGGTATGAAATTTAGAGTATACGTTCACAATATCTATATGGTTTATATATATATATATATATATATATATATATATATATATGTACTACATAACTTATATTATATATATTATAGGCAGCCTTGATCAGCGCCGGTGGATCACCAATTGGACTGGGCTCCGATATCGCAGGTTCTGGAAGACTGCCCCCTATGTACTGCGGGATATTCGGCCATAAACCCACCTCCAGTGAGTAAAACATATATTTAATTAATATTAGTTATAGATATATTAAACTGGATTGATATGTCATTATAAGATTACTAGTTAAATGAGATAATAGTTATAAAACAACAGAGCAGCAATGGCATTCACAGTTTCTAATTTAAACTCCCGAAATTCCCACAATCTTGAAAGCCGTCGGGGTGGAGGTGAGAGTGCATAAATTATTTAAAATCGTTTTATAACTCATATAAAACAGATTAGGGAGTTTCAGAGATGTCTATATGTTGAGGGGTGCCCATCCCCCATCTCCAAGAATCTATCCTTCCCTCCTCCCAAGATATTTTATTGCTCACATTTCTCAAAAACAGAGCAAGCTAAGGTAGAATTAGAAAAATCGTAGATGATATACAAATATACTTGCTGCGGTTTGTTTCATGGGTTTCCCTTGTCTCTTAGTCCGGAAATTCATAACCCCATCGAAATTTGACCCGTCAAAATATGCCCCCTCAAAAATTTTGATGGCGCCGTGAAACCCCTGTCTGTGCAGCCTTGTATATCTTTATAAACCGAATAAAACGAAGTACTGGATCCATTCAAATCATAAATATTTTTTCATCTCGAACTTTTTTTCGATACCCCTACCCTACCATGAGAACCAAACCTATTCTTGCCATAGTGGAAAGGTAGAGATTTATTCTTTGGGTCCGACACGAAATAAATTTTAATCCGCCCAGGACGGATTCTAACGAGCGTAGTTAGACGCAAATGTTAAAGTTTAAACTTCATGCTCGCCATCACGACCTCGATTTTTAAATTTAAATAATGAAATTTGCACAGACACAAATAAATTACATTTGTGATTAACGAGTATACACGCACAATTACAGCATACAGAGTGTATCATTTCTGAATAACCAAATTCTAGGGGGGAGGGTGATTCTAGAATTTTTTTTTTTAACCAAATATTATATTTGAGACCGTTTCCGAACGGAAAAAGAATTAAGAGAAATTTTTTGGTTTTTATTAAGGTGGTCAGGTTATTTATTGAATAAGAAAAAATGGATCCCGGATTGTTCTGTTATTGTGTGGAGAATGTTTCTCTGAAATCTTTCCATACTTTCTTCTATGACACTGGTTAGTATCCAGGTCTCACAACCATATATTAGAACTGGCTTTATCATATCATTGTACACCCTTAATTTGAGATTTTTCGGGATTTCAATAGCTTTGGAAGGCAGAAGAAAGCTCTGTTTGCGCTTATAGTACTCTGGTATATTTCCGACTATTTTAAAATATATAAATCAACATTTTTTTTTTAAATGAATTAAAACTTTTTTTTTCTGTTTTAACTATTTCTCCGCACCTGTCATGGTATTAACAATCTGCAAATGTTTTGTGATGATGAGGATTGGCATTATAGGCATGAGGAAGGATAGTACCCAGCAGCACCTCTTCCTGCTCATTATTTAATTATTTGATTTAGGTGAGGAGATCTCTCATCCAGCTTCTTTTTAGTCTCCTCATGATGGACATGTCAGTCGTAGCCATGTCGTTTATAAGTCTATTTGTGTGTCCATGTAGTTTGAGGTGAAAACAGGAGTAGATAGTACGTATGTGTTGGTCTATAGTTGGTTGTCGTAAATCGTTACGTAAAGTTTTGTTGTTGACGTACCAGGGAGCTCCTGTTATAAGTCTTAAAATTTTAGATTGAAATTACTGTAGTTTTTGTAAGCACGTCTTTTTTGCCGAACCGTAAATCTGAGAGGCGTAAAAACTTAATTTATATTTATTGAAAAATACTGATCCAACTGATGTGAAAAATGTAGGTTTGAATCCCAAGAAATTTCTAAGAGGCAGAATCTCCCTATCTCTAAACCCCCTCCCATGTTAGACATCTGAAATTAAATCCTGGATATGCTAATGACACACGGAATAATTAGGATTCGCTGAAGTATTCATTATACTGCACTGTAGTTTTCTCAGATACGCAGTCGTTTATTCAAAGGAAAAAACCAGAAACTCAAGGTTATTAAGTAGAAGAAAAAATAAGCATAAACTAGCAAAATAATTGTCTTTAATAATAGACCAGAGGACACTTAATACTATCAACCAGTTTGAAATAACAAGCGAACATGTGTTATGAACTCAATTATCTAAATTAATAAAAACGTAAATGTTTGTTATTTCAAAACCGCTAATATCAGAAACTTCTTAACCGATCACTTTGAATTATTGACATGATGTTTTATCGCATTCAGGAGTGTTTTATATACATTTAATCATCATTCGGTCTTTCGTTTCGGAATGGCCGCCGAAAAACCTGTCTTCTCCTTGAAGCCCTATGAATTTAATCCAAAAAGAGTATGAAAAAAAAAGTTACGATGGGTCAAAACTATATTTGCGAATAACTCAAAAAATACGCAATTTTTGTTTGATTATACCCAACATTATTTGAAAGCTTTCTTGATTTCCTACAAGATAAACACATCGAAATCGAAAAGAATTATCTCTGAAATGAAACAATTTGTAACGGCCAAAGGAGCAAAGTGGGTTCAAAATTTTTTTTAATGAGGAACGGAGTTGAGATTCTTATTTTGGATCACGAAAAACCCTCAAATACAAAAAATTGCAATCGAAAAATAAAAATTTTTTACCTCAAATCTTCGTCAAAAAGTCACAAAAGTTGTCATAACTTCGATATGGATCTACTCAACCACCCGAATATTGGCATGCATTTAGGGCCCTATAATATAAACGAAATAGCACAAACCAGAAGTCCGTAATTAAATGTGGCTGAGATAAAAAATAAAAACCTGTTTGAAGTTTTTCTATATTTATTCCTTATGAGGGCATTAAATATAAAAGTTTTTTATATAGGCTCAAAGAGCAACTTCTTGATTCTCTGCAAATCAAAAAAAAAAAAATAATAATAACTAAAATCGGACGATTGGTGCAAAGATATAAGCTTCGTGGAGATTTTCGTGGGAGATTTAGCGACCGATTGCTTCTTATATAGACAATTATATGTTGCGAATTATACAGTTGGAAAACCAGACAATCTCTATATCTGCACAAAGAATACTGCATATCAGTGTGGTCTAGACCTCAGTTCAGAGCGTATGATAAAAGTTCAGTCAGTTTATAGTTAGTGATTTTCGCAGTTTTTAGAAGGAGTTCGGTCATAATTTTTGGTTAGAACCAACTATTAATCGTGTTATATCCACAGACAGAAAAGATTCTTCAATACAACGCCGTTTCACGTCAGAAGAAAAAAGGAAAAATCATAATTTTAGTCGGCTTAAGGTAATTATTGCAGGCACTCTAGATAAGAATATAGGTGGGGAGCGCATGCGCATAAATAGGACTAGGTACTAGATATCTCAGTGCTTCCAGTGACGAAGTTGGGGTAACGTCAATTTTTTTACCACGTTACTTACGTAATTTTTTTTTTCTCTTTCTTCTTTTCTCTCGCTTATCAAGATGGTTTTATGCCCAATTTGTAAACAGACCATAGCAAGAGAAGAAAAAAAAACAATGGCATGCACTGTCACAGCATGTCAAGCCATTTTCCATGGAAAATGTCTAAACGCAGACGAGAGTGAGTTTGAAGCACTGAGGGCATTACGAAAAAATTGGGTATGCCCGAAATGTGAAAAGGCTCGGAAAAATATCCAACCGACAGACAAGTGTCTCAGCCCGCCAAGATCGGCGCCACAACAACAAACTGTCGACAGCACGTCACAACTGTTACTTGCTGCCATTAAAAATCTAACAGAAGAGGTCAAGGGATTAAAATTCTCCCTCGATGCCAATGCTAACGAGGTGAAAGAATTAAAAATATCTCTTGAAAAGCAAGCCTCCATAACTTTTGAGAATGCGGCGAAATTAGACTCTATAGAGTCACTACTGGAGGCTCAAAATTCCAAGATTGACGGACTGGTCTTGGAAAACACGACTCTCAAGTCTCGGGTCTCGGAGCTCGAAATCAGGCTCAATAAAAGTGAGCAACTACACCTTTCCAGGGCAATAGAAATAAGAGGAGTCCCAGTGAGATCTGGAGAGACCCCGATGGGCCTGGTTATGAGCGTGGGGGCGGGCCTGGGCCTTAGTCTAAAGGTGGAGGACATTGACTATGCAGAACGGATAAGAACCAGGCAAGACGATACACCTGGGCCGCTTGTGGTAAGGTTCGTCCGGCAGTCGCTTAGGGATGAGTTGATCCAGAGGCGAAAAGTCATTAGGGATTTTTCAACACGTCACCTCGGATGGCAAGAAAATGACGCCCACAAGATCTACCTGAGCGAAGCTATGTCCGTAACCAACAGACACCTGTACTGGCTGGCCCGGCAAAAGAGGTCTGCAGGAAAAATCAGGTACAGTTGGTTCAGCGCAGGCAAGGTGAAATGTCGACGAGACGATGGACAGCAGGTCGTCGTCATCAACTCACCATCAGATTTAGACACGTTTGCTTGACATGCATATACATGTTACATCACTTCGAACAATTTTGTTTTTACTTTTTTATATCCCCAGTTTTATGTTTTTGTTGCGTTTGTTTTAATAATAGACTATGATAATAATTTCATTTTTGTTTATGAGAATATTTTAGGTCTGATCTGTTCAGAAACTCTAATTTGTGTATTTTTTTTTCTTTTGCACAATAGGAATATGCTTTTCGTTAACTAAATTTTATATTTTTTGTTTACCATCCTTATTAATATCTAGGAGATCTTGCACACAATTGACTCTAGCTGCTGTAGAAATATTCCTACCCTTAACTCCTTCTGTCCGTTTACCAAGCCACCCCTTCTTCTTCCATGACTAATATCCTTCTAACCTGCCACGTCAACGCTCAGTCACTCTTAGCCCATTTTGATGAATTTTACGACTTTTTTCTCCATAACTTCTACCATTTAATTGCCGTATCCGAAACCTGGTTGAAACCCACAATCCCGTCCTCCCAGATCCTTCTACCTAACTATACTCTCCTTCGTCATGACAGAGTAGATCGCACGGGTGGTGGAGTAGGTCT